ACCATGTAGAACGCACCTAGTCCGAAGTCGTCTGCCATAGTAGTTGTCAGATGCTGGGAATCATGACAACAACTATGGCAGACGACTTCGGATATAAGATTAAGTTATACTACTAGTCATGATGAGGACCCAAAAAAGCAATTAAAAAAATATAGGTTGCTTTTGTATTCCACCAAAATAGCCAATTTTCGTAGATATGAAGACATAAATTCTTCTACCTCGACTGCAGTCCACCCTTGATGAGAATACATTTTGGGAAAATACGGCTATGTAAAATTCAATTGAAACGTAAGGTCTACTCGTATGACTAAGGGAAAATTCAACTACCGGTGCCCTTATCACCTTAACGAAAGATAGTGTATTTATTTAATTATATTTGGCACTTCAATAAATTGAATTACCTATATTTGTAGCGAGCAGACTTCGCTACTATCGCTAGAGCTTGAATAAGGCCTGATGGTAGGATTTAGTGACTCATCTGCACTCTTACACAAGACATGGATGCAGTGGCCTTGTCCTGTTCCCCCAAAACATGCCAACTTGGCACCACATGCCAATTCTTTGATACTCTTTTCCCTAAATCAGTCAACAGACAAATTGGACAGTGACTTGCAGAAGCGTAGATTTACATTACGAATTGTCACCAGATTTGCTATTCTGCAGAAAAGCGGCCCATGAACCAGAGATTTGAGGCAATTAACTCTCGAGAGAGGTGAGAGGCCAACGATACAATTTCGAGTCCAGTTAAGCCTGAAGATTTACTCCACAAAAATACACAAACATACAAACATTCCACACAAAATAAGTTTCATTGAAGGACAGACTGAGAAGCAACAACCACCTTGGAGCTGTTTACCTATCACATGTCGTCGTATGACCAGTCAGAGGGACAATAACTCGTTGTGAAATGAATAAAATCATTGTGGATACTTTTATTTTGTATGAAAGTTGTTCTGATAAAAAGATTCCAATTTCGATCTCACCAGCAGGCAGTACTCGGTTTTCAATGAACTGCAGCCGTTTGGCTTTGATACAACGTTTAGGTTGGCGCAGTCCAAGAGATATCCTCCATCATTTCGGGCGAAAACGGATTGAGCTTTCGATCGTCATTTCACTTGGCGAACATCATCAGAGCTGGAACTGATTCTTGTACAAGTCTCACGTCAACACTAGGTCCAGAAGAATCTATTCTATACGCACTTTCATACGAAAGTGAAAGTCTCTCCATCAGTGCTATCTCAGGTGC